TATTATTGTTATTATTATTATTATTATTATTATTATTATTATTATTATTATTATTATTACTATAGTGAATTTGATTGAAAATTTTTAAAAAATTTATTTTTGTTGTTCTTTTCAGGCTCATCTTACCAATATTACAAAGTTATTCGAACGCTGGTGAATTTAGTATTGTTGGTAAATTGAGGTCGGCTGCTTATAATAATGTGGTTTATTATGGCCTCTATTTAGGCGTCTTCGTGGCGCTTCTCATCTATGCGGCTTCTCAAGGCGTTTCGTTGAATGCGTTAGTTGATTATTTATTCACTGATTGCTTGTTCATTTATCATTGGTTCGTTAACTTGAAGGGAACATTTGAAAGTGATCATCATATCAGCATCGAATACATGGGGATTGTTTGTATTAGTTGTGCTGTTGGGGTATGCGCTCGTCGAAGTACCACGACAGTTGATGTTGATGGTGAAGAAAGGTTGTTGAACTTTTTCTTTCGGTTATTTTTATTTTTTGTTAGCAAAAAATAGTGTGAATATTTCAGAATATAGATTGAATAAAACCTATTTCGATATTGATAAATTATCAAGTGAGAAAAACGAAGCTGAAGAGGAATTACGCGATGCTTATCAGTATGTTATCAGTATTTCTCTTCTTTATTGTAGATTTGAATTGAACTGAATAGAGATCTGTATTGTTTTTGTTGTTGTTGTGTTAAGGGCAAATGATGCATCGTTACACATGTACATTTTAATGGTAATATGGAAAATTCATTTCGCATCGTGCACTTTTAATTTTTGTTAATACTTGATAATCTAAAGTATCGTATAGAAGAGGTTATGTTAAGTGTTGTTGTTGTTTTCGTTCAAATATTCTTTACAATTGCGTTCCATTCAAGGATGTCACGTAGCGTCTTAACGTTACTACGCAATGAGTATATATTACGTGAGTATGCGCAAACAATTCTTGCTAAATTTCCAACTGATATTGTCGCTGAGATGAATAATTCGAAATATGGCAGCCATTTTGCTGCTTCAGCAATACCGCCCGCTGACGAGAGCATAGTTACAAGCGAGAAATATTTGGTAACCACTTATTATCATTTTTATTTGTTATCATTGTTGCTATTGTAATTATTATTATTATTATTTTCATCATCATTATTATCATCGTTCTTACTGTTGTACGTAAACGGTTATTCATTTATGTGTTTATTTAACAATGTATTTCACAAATGAAACCGATAACATGTAATACGTAAATAATAAGATTCGCCTACATAAACGCGTGATAAAAGCGATTCAAAATCACCATCGTACTCAAATGCAATGGCAAGCTCTGCTGAAGCGTGCCTTTTACTTGGAGGATGTTCAACGAGCCTTTGAAATGTACATTAGTGGTGGGACAGTACATTATGAGTTTAGGTTCGCTTTACTTATTTCAGTTGGATTTGTCGGTGTTTTAAATCTTTTATTGATTTGAAATCGTGTTGAAACAGCCGCTGTAAAGTATTAATGTTATTTTAGTTGCCAGAAATCATTTCGGGTTAAATTTATTATAAGTAATAATTATTGTCGTTAGCGATCGTGATGCTAAGTTGATGTTTATTGTTGTTGATGTGATAATAATATTATTAGCATTACTGTTCTTGTATTCAGAACCATCAAAAAAGAACAGGCCTGGTTGCAAAAATATCCGCTATTGATAAGACGTTTCTGGCTGGTAGAGCAATACGCTTGGCATGTTTTATGCAAAAGAGCATTACTTATGGTGATTATTATGATTATCATTTGTTATTGTTACATGTGTAGCTTATGATATGACTTCATTGTTATTATTGTTTGTCGTCATAATAATGACAGAGAAGTAATTTTAAGGTGATTGCAACAGTTTCATTGGCTCTTTCGATAGTAGTTGCTTGGAGTGAGTGTACGTTCTTTATTGTTCGTCCAACTCTTTCGCTGGCAGCGCACCTTGTGAATGAGTTCTATCGGATGCACGCGCATTTGGACGTTTGTTTCATTGTTATTATCAACTTATTGTTATTGTGTTATCACCTCATTACCATTTTTCATTTTACCGCATTTTTCAATTTTCCTTTCCCGGCATTTTACTGATGCTAGATTTGTTGGCCAGTAATTAACGTTCACCAAAGTTAGGGAGGGATGTGTAGGTGAACAGAGGAGATCTCTTAAGTTAAAAGTGTCTATTCGAAGTGGTTAATCAAAATCATCTCTGAAGTGTTCAGTATCAGTATATTGAATTCTGTGGTAGTAATTGTGATTATAATCTGATAAATTACCAGTAAATGTTCTTATTTGATGGGGGTGTTCATAAGATTAATCCTTAATTCAGATACCGCTCTTCGTTTTGATGTTTTATTTGTGCGTTTGTGCATACTATTCAGTGTTCAAAATGCGTATTTATCGTTATTATCGATTGGACAGTCATCATATGACTGACGAAAACAGTCTTCTTTTTAGTGCAACGTCAGTTTGTTTGGAAAAATTGATTCTATGCTTGTTTATTGATAATAATTATTAGTTTTATTGTGATTAAGTTATCATTATTCAATGATGATACGTATGTGTGAAGATGATGGTGATTGTGGAAAATAGAAAAAAAAAGGATTATAATTTTTCGCAATTGCAGTTTATTATGTCGTCTAGCGCCAGCGTTATGTTTGAATGTCTTGGGAATGATTCATTTGGATTCCCATATTAGTGACGCTGACAAATATTTTGTTGAGACTCAGTTCACGAAGGTATTTTTATTCAGCATTGTTGTTACTGTTTGCTGATGTTATTGAATTATCATCATTATTATTATTATTTTCAGCTTATGGGTCACTTGGATGTTATTCCGATTCTAGCGAAAGGTATCAATATATATCTGCCAATATTTGTCTTTCTTATCGGCCTTGGCACATACTTGCGGTTAGTATCTGTTATTGGCATAACACTATGTAATGTTTGGTATATTGTGAGGACAATATGATAATATAACATTTCAAAGTCATAAAAAAGGTTTGTAGAGTTGGTACATTGTTTCTACACTATTTGGGAATTGATCAGTTTTTTGATGATGACGAAATGAGCGGTGAACTAGTGCAAGGAGGACGAGCTCTGGTCACCATTGGTTCGTTTTTGAATGTGTATCAGTTTTATGCGAAAATCAATCGATGTTTTTTAATGATACTCGTAACCAGAATGGATATATTTGTTCAGAAAGAAATAAGTTGCTACGAGAGATGGATCGTGAGCAAAGAGATAAGTATTGGGCGAATCGACTCGTTGCTTTGCATGCAGGTAGTGTTCGTGCATATTAACTGATTCGTTATTCGATTTTGTGTTTGACTGGAATGGTGATGTTGTCATGAATAATAAGAACTTAAATGCTTTAGACGTATCAAACGAAGGTGACGAGAACTGCGATGCGATTGGACTCGTAATTGATAATAATAATAGAAGTGATATTGATAATGATCAGTCAGTAGCAAACGATATGAGCAACAATAATAACAGACCAGCAGCATTAGCCCCGTCTTCAAATTATGGTTCATCTGACATTATGGCTAGTCCTCGACCGACGATTAGTTTTGACGACTTTTGAATGATCAGTATTTCTTTCTTCGTTCTTCTGCGGAATTTAAAATTCTCTTCAGTATTATCTCATTTCTTTTTGATCTCTTTCTTTTTTTCATTAGCTGGTGTTTATTATTATTCTTATTGTTATTATTCTGTTAATAATGGTACTTTTATTATTTTACATGTATATAATATTAAATTATATACCAAAGCGTGATTGATTTTTATCATCGACTGTCAAATTTGATTACTTTGCTAGTCATTTGAAATTCTTGTATTTCTGTTTGCTTTATATACATATGCGTTTGATTTTCCTCAATCTAAAATCGTTCCTTTGAAGGAAAATCCTCAGTACCTGGCTAGTATAAAATGGTGATTGTGATGTACAATATTTATGAGTTTAATTGTTGTACTGCGCTGGTCGTTACGCTTCGTCTGCGAAAACATTTTCGTTCATCTTATACGTGTCTAACTGATTAGATCTTAACACATGTACTGTTACTTGCATTGTCGTTATTAACAGTAGTATTGCTTTCATCATTCACTATTTTTATTAGTAGTATAAAAAAATTATGAATGCAAACATTATCATCATTGAACTAATAACTGTATTATTGTTTTTAGTGTTTATTATTATGAATATTATTGGTATTTTTAATATTATCGTTAAGATGGTCGTAATTGCTTTAGCAGCCTACTAAATAATTCATCAGTGCAGCGGCTGTCCTCATACGAGGATAGATAATAAATGATTGCAGTACATTTCTAAGGTACTTCAATTTTACTAATACCGATACAAGATTTTTGACTTGTTCGTATGAGTGATTTATTCAAAATCAAAGCGCCATTGTGTAGATTTTAAGTGTGATAAATACATTGGAAGCGTTTCGCACCTTACTGATTAGCTCTCATCATATGAGAACAACGTGACCATTGATGAGTTGATTGTTTCAATTAATGATTAATCTCTGTAAAGAAAACGCCAAATGAATAAAGCTTTCTCGAATCGTTTTCGTGGACAAGATGATGACTCGATAAGGAGATTATATATCACATCCATATGTTTTTCAATAAAATTGAATAGGTAGGTAATTGAATGAGAGGGAGAGGTGCTAATCTCGAATGGTTTTTGATCGAGAATACTGTCGATTTTGTTGGAAGGCATACGAGAGTCTAAATTTGAGTATGATAGATTTCGGCTCGTATAAATTAATGAAGGCATTATTTAGATGATGAACGAAAAGAATAAAGAAATAAAAATGTTTAAATTGTTGCATGTGTAATAAAATGACCAAAAAAACATCTGTAGCACAGTTGTGTGAGAGGAGTGTGCGCATATGTGCGATACGGTATCGTGTTACATCAAAGAAATGCGGCCAGTGTAAAACAACGCAGATTGTTGGAAAGATTATATGTGAAAGAGTTGAATGTTATGTGATATCATTGCTGTTGCATATTAATAATCGTTAATTATTGTCGATGATTTCAAATGACAATGTACTCAATCAGTTTGTGTATATGTATGTTGGTTGTGTGAGCAAATGATTTTGCTTGAGGACAACTTCATATCAGCAGTTGCATGTGAAAGAGGATGGAAAAGAAGTCAGTTACCTTTGATCAGATGAATGTACCGCAAAGTTGAGGTGATAACCAGGGGGAAGTTAGTCTTGTGTGTATGGGATTAGATTGAATGTGATCATCGAGAAATGAGAATAAATCAATCAAGATTCCAGTACGTATGCATGAATATAAATGTTTATTTATATGATATTTATGTTTATATGAGCATATATATGTACTATAGATATGTACGTCTTCAAGTGAAACAACGTTATGCAAAAAGCAAGCTTGTGTTAATTCTAAATCGCATAACTCATTGGTGCTTCTTCGAACTAAAATGAAGACGGATGGACGAATAAACGACAGCGACAGCAATAATAAGTGTAAACAACACAATACCAATGTAAATACTACAAATTCATGCATAATGATAAATATATTCTCTATTATATAGTAAAATGAAATAAATGTGTGTATAATGCATAATAAAAACACATCTGCGTATATCCTTTATATAAGCAAGCATTCATTCATTGGTCGGATTAGTGTTGTGTTTAGAGAATGATGATGATGAAAAAAGACACGCAGAGGAAACCAGAGAACAGGTGATTGTACTTATTCAAATTGAGCATACCGGAAATCCACCCTTTCATTCATTAGAAGTATTGTTATGATTGTTTAAATAATTATTGATAAGAAACGCTAAATCCAAACAACAAAATACACTGATGTGTCTTCATAAACTTTTAGTTATGAATCTGTCTGTGGTATAAGTAAATATTGACGATTTATAAAAGTTATGATAACATCGTGGTTGGTATTGATATCGATAATGACGATACTGGTAAAAATTATAGTGATAGGAATGCATGGAATAGTCAGGATGAGAGGAAAAGTCGGTAAACGAATGAATGAATGGCTTGTTCTCACAAATGTATGTGATGCTCATTATCAGTGATAATGATGTTTTTGTCGATGAAAGACATCCCTCAGAAATTCATTTACTTTTATGCATATTTTAAAAATGTGTATTTGTATTATTATTCATTTATCATTCAGGACTGCATTTACAAAGTTACATAATGCGAATAATAATAATGATTATATTAAAGTGGTAGGGACTGTTATGAAAAATTCTTGATTATTTATTTATGTGCGTGCAATAAGTGTGAATAGATCTGCATGCTGTATGAATTGGTTAGCTAATTTTAGTCACTAGGACGAATAGGGAGGGAAAGAGGTTGATTTAATAAAGGCTGACGGATATATGGATGGAGGATAAATATACTGGGTTGAACATGTGGATATATGGATGAATAAATTAATGGAAGGATGCATAGAATGGGGTGGATACAAGAACGGTGTACCAAATTCAATTAGGCTTTAAGCTGCAACAGCAGTAGTCGTCTTAATTAGCACTCATCGGGTTAATTGAGATTAACACATATCCATTTATATCTGTCTATCTGATGGTAAGAGCAGATCAGCTCGTCTACTGAATACAAACTAGATCATTATTATTACTTTTGTTAATATGATTATTATTTTCTCAATCTAAATGTGCATTATTTGATCTTATGCTTATTCATAAATACAAGTTTATTTAGCATTTATTTTGTAGAAAACTAATTGGTCAGCAGTCAGTCAAGATGGTTGGTCATCAAAGAAATCGTTCACTTATAATTTATGACTTTTTATAATAGTCTCGTTGCCCAGATTTCATCAAATGTGGCGCATTTGCGGTGTTTCTGTTTTAAGGGTATTCGTATCGTTCACCAAAAAACTTATTTATAACAATATACTAATAGCAATAATAATAATGACAATAACAATAATATGAAATTCGTATGTTTACCAATCAGAGATTTTAGGTGGTCCTAATTGATTGCTAATGAGTATGCCGAGGGCATGTTCCAGTTGTTTGAATACATCTCATAACTTTCCCACAGGGTATTCTGTGTAATTAGCACTATATCCGATGATTATTACTATTGATTAAGCAAACAACATATCTGTCCAATTCATTAGTTACTTGTCTTACAGTGCATAAAACAAATTGAATGATGGTTTTCAAGAACAGTTAAGTATGTTCATTATATTCATAAACAATTCAATGATCAACAACACAAAACAATTATAATCTAATTACTATTCAGCATCGTTCTCATTTTCATTATCATCACAATGCATCGTATTGTTTGGATATCATATCTTCAAAATGCTAATTGCTCAATTTATCAATTTTTATAGACGTACATCTTTAAATGATTTCTATTGTAATGGCAGCAGTAACGGAGTGATACAATCATAATAGTGATAAGAGTACTTGAACTAATTGTAACAGTAACAGTGATTGCAATATAACGAGAATAATAGTAATAACATCGATAGCAATGATAATACTCATGATAATGATAATCCTTCTTAAAAACGATTCAGTTAAGTTGAGAAATACTTGATAGAGAATTGATTAGAGAAGCCTTTTTAGCGTTTTTCTTGAACTGTCATTATGATCAGTTGATCACGTGAAAAGTAATCATTTATGTTCATTTAGTAATTATCAATGTTGACTGCTATTATCCATATTCATTTATTTGTGTCACTAGAGTCTGACCTTTTATTAGCATACACCCGAACAATTCCATTATTTTACCGTGGTGTTCAAATTTTTTGGTTGGTTATTTCACACTGTGATGTGGTATCCTCTTGGTCGGGTTTGATCTGTTGTCTTTTATGGTTATTATTCATTGATGACTTTTTGCAGAAGTATGAACAGGATAGATGTTTATTTCAATAATTCACGTTAAAGTTTTCAGAATTTGTTCATATTGAAAATATTTCAGAATTGATAAGATTTCAAAAATGACGCCTACCTGTTTTTGCAATTTTATGTGAAGGTCGGATTGTGATTATTGATAGTGATAATCATGACAAGAGAAGCGTAATAATTAGTAACGGCAATAATTATGAAGAGACAAATTGTCTGCTTGTAATAATGTGCCTTTTTCCTGTTTACATCACCGTCGCAATTATTCATTTCAGCATTATTCATTAATACTCTCAAATTGTTCCCTGATAATAACGGTAATAATAGCAGCAATGACAATTATGTATATTCGACTCAATTTCGCATTGATTTACTTCCTTTTAAATGAACCGCTCTAATCTCATAATTGAATTGCCTTATCTCGGTATGCTATTATGTATCATTATTAAATATTTTTGTATCTACTTCAAATATCACTTTTACGTATTATTTCAAGTTGTAGTTCTATAATATTTGCGACATACCTATGCATCCAAACTTCAATTGTATCTTCCTTATAGTTGAACCGTTTTAATATGAATAACTATACAACCTTCTTGTAACAGAATTAATTATAACTGGTATCGTCATCATTATTCATTCCGTTCACGAAAAGAAGACAATTAACTTCTGATCACTTGTTATTATGCTCTAACACA